GAGTGTATATGTATATATTTTATCCCAACGAGTCTACTCTAAAAATCAAATAGTAGCTGTCACACTCTTGAACAAGGAAATGCAGGGCTTCCAAGATGGCGGCCATGGGCTGAAGCAGACAGAGTTTCGGTAATTAACGAAACAAAAGAAAACGTTCTACCTGGCTAGGGGCAGGGGACAGAACTATCATGGTAATTTAGTTCCTAATCTTAGCCCTAGGGGAAACAGCTTTCGGGAACAAGGACTACCCAGTCTACCAGGAAATAGAAGTAAAAAAATATCTAGAAAGAAGCTAAACTTAGAAAGACAGAAACAATTCCGCCATGCACCTTCCATCAAGTGTACTGAGATTCACTTATAAGTTTTACTGCCATGTATGCACACTGGTCACCAATCACACGCCAATATCATAGGTATAACTGATATCCTATGTCAGAGGCGATCTTCCAGATGGGCCTTTACAGGCCTCAGCCATGTAGCTATAGATGTTGGCTCCCAACAATTTCCTGTGGTTTTTATTTTTTTCCTAGCAGAGGAAAACTGATGAATCTGTAGCAAGTTTGTTCAACAAAATTTTTATCAAAGAGATTTGAAGCATGTGCTTTTTTCCCTAACACACACAAGTACAAAGAACATAATGTCCGTAGAACAAGATGACCCAGACTTGTTTAATACTCTGGAGGCTCTCTCCTAAATCCCTTCTCATACCCATGTCCTGCTTCATCCCCACTCCTCACCCCTTTGTCTTTCCCTCATCCTTTTGTTCCCCGTTTGAGATTAATGACAGCTGGGTGCCTGAGAGCATTTCCTTTCCTTTATTCAGAGATGGAACACGGGGAACAGTGTTTACAGGAATGGTTTTCATGTAAAAATATAGGTGAGCAAGATTAGGAAAATACCACTGATTGTCATGTTGGTTTATTTCTTTGACCTTCTACTTTTCATCCGGGTAGATTCAGAAAACAGGCAAAGCAGTAAGGGTTGAAAATTAAGAGAACGTGGAAAACAACAGAGAAAGAGAATCCCTACCATCGGGCTGTATTTTGTGCACAGCCATGATTTGTGTCCAAACCAGCCCATCCAGTTCAGAACAAGAACGATTGTAACCTCATGCTTGGCCACACCACTTGAGACCTTTGCTTATTTTGTTTTTCCTTATATTTTTGATGGTGATAATGGTGGAGGGGGTGATGAGAGGAAGCAAGAGGCTGGTATGTATTTATCAGTTTTGTTAGCATATAATATCGTGAATTTTTAAAAAGTGATGAACATGCATCGATTGAACTGATAGGAAAAAGTATTTGATATTTAGATAGTTTCTTGGAATCGTTGGGTGATAGTTTTTTACAACCTTGAGTGTCTCCTCGTGAACCACGTGGTATCTCAGGTATTGCAGGTGAGGCCACAGTCCTGTTTACACGTCCTCATTTTTATCTGTCCTTCTATCCAGTGGCCACACTCCTGGGAGCATCCCCCCCACAGCCACCTGGAAGGGGGCCAGCAATGTCATTATCGGTGGCAGCATGTCCAGGCAGTCTTGAAAAAGCATCCTGTCTGCTCGAGTCAAGTTTTAGGAGGGGTGATGTTCACTTTCCTATGCACAAACAGCCTGATACATTGGAAGCACTCTTCTTATCCCTAAAGTCATGCTTGTCCTTGCGCTTTCCCACTCCCAGCTGTGGACCCTGTCTGCTGGACGGCGGACAGCTTGGGGAGGGAGAGAGGCAGTCATGTCTGCACGTGTTGTGTTTCCCAGCAGGGCCTCACTTTCTTTCCCTTTGCTTTTTAGGGTCCTGTACATTGGCCTGGCCTGCAACACAGCTCGCTATATCTACATTTCCTACCTGGAAAACGCCTGGACTGTCCTCCCCATGGAAGTTCTTCAAGGTGAGCTAACAGCGGGCATGAAAATTCTTTCTCTGCCTACCTGAGCTACCACTGTGGAGAAGCCCAGTGGCCTTCAGCATCTGATTCCGTAAAGGAAGGGCGGGCTCCTGTTTTATGTGATTTTGAAGTGGTTGTTAAGGAAGAGATGACGTCAGCAGGGCTGGGTCCTCAGTTACCTGAGTGCTGTTCTGTGCTGGGCCAAACAAAACTGGATTCGACCTACACCCATGTGATTAAACAAAGGAAGAAGAAGTCTAGAATAAGTTCCTATGTGCATGTGTCAGACAGCCGAGGGAGGTTTTAAAAGAATAAGAATTTGTTTGTAAGCTTTTGGTATTTTTTCTGTTTTGTAGGTTAACTATACTTATTGAAAAAAGATTGTTGTCAGGCTTATTTTATCTCTTCAGTTATTTTTATGATATCCGGGGGTTTATAACTAAAGCTTTGTAGTCACACTGTTGTTTTCCTGTGAACATTTTAAAATCTTGGCTTAAATGTCCTGACCTGAGTTCCTCTCTTGGCTTCAGTGTGCTATTTCCTGTCAAGACATAACTCTGAAAAACTGGGAGCCTCTAACTGTGTGACTGAAGCTCCTGAAGACATGGGTTTCTATTCAAAGCTCACGGCCGTGTTGGCTCATATAACCCTGACTATTTCCTGAAGAGCCTTGTTTGCAGATCAGCTAAGCCATTTAGTGACTGGCATTATGGTTAAAGTAAAGGTTCAGGACACGATCACCGGAGTTCAGGTCTTCAGGGACAACCCAGGCTGATAAATCATTCATTGCTCTACAGTCTGTGATTATGTACAGTTTCACTAGCCTTATAGGTTGCCACAGGCATTTTCCCTTACCCTGAGGAGTCAAGTGTAGTACAGTCAGCATGATTAATTTCTTGTCATGATGAAAGCGTCACAATTATACACCTAAACAGAATGTACAGAATGTAAGCTCATGCCTCAGATGCCATTGTGGCAATGGAACGAAGGACTTACCCTAATTGAAAGGAGGTATAATTTGTAGTCATATTATTATTTTATTTTATTGGTGTTTTATTATTTTTTTTAGAACAACAGATATTTATTATCTTAGTTTCTCAGGGTCATATTATCTTTTTAAAATTCAAGCAAATACACACTTTAAAGATGCTTTTCTTGGGTTTGCTGCAATGGTGTAATTGGTGAAAATGGATTTTATTTATAACAAATAGAGAATTGGAAATTTGGTCTTCAAGTAAGAAATGATTGTAGTAATTAGAACTCTGGAAGGGTCTTGAGTGAGGCACACATCTCAGCATTGTGTCGTTGAGGAAAGCACAGCCTTAAACATGAATTTCAGAGAAGGCTTATCAATGATGAGGCACATGCAACACGATCCTGGGATTTCCTCCTCTGGCCCCTGCTCTGTTTTTGCCTGGCTCCGTTGCCTTATGTAGTGATATGCCACAGTGTGTAGACACTGTAAATAAAGTTTTGTACACATACAGAAAAGAAAGTGCTGCATACTGTAATCATGTATGCTCATCCTTTTTTCTCCTTTTAGCTTACTGTGAATTAGGTGGAAAGGACAGTTTGCGTAAGTGACTCAAAGGAGAGCATCCATGGGATGGTCAAAGGAACAACAGAATAACTTCATAAGAGGGATAAACAAATGCTATTGTGAATTGTAAAACTCTTTTTCTTGTTCATTTATCAAATATTATGATATTAAATAATATTAAATTTATGAAAGCGTACTTCTAAAGGTATAATAAATTTGGATTCAAAAGCAAAAAAAAAAAAAAAGATGTATTAAATGGTGACTAAGAACCAGGGGGCATGTTGGGTGCTGGGACTGTAATACAAATTTCTCTCTCTCTCTCTCTCTCTCTCTCTCTCTCTCTCTCTCTCTCTCTCACTCTCAGGCCCCACAGTTTCCCCATCTGTTCTGGAAGCCAGATGTGTAAAACTCATAATTACTCCACAGTGTGTTAGATGGAATTGTAGAAAAATGTGCTGGTTAACAGACAGGAGCTGGTGGGGAGAGTAATTAACTTTGTGAAGCAGGGAGTGGGAGGATGAAGATTTTATTGAGAAATGACTGAAGGAAATTGCATGAACTGAATTTCCAAGGGCCAATAGGAATCCACCAGGTGCTCTAAAGGGAGCAGGCATCCTGGCATAGGAGAGATCAAGTGGCAGGGTGCAGAAGCGAAATGCAGGATGGCATCTCCAGGAAGAAGGGTGGGGTGTGGGCTCGTTCTGGGTGGATTTAGCATCTCAAGCCGCCTACCCAGTATGCATTTTCATCATATTTACATCTACCTCAGGGCATGTGATTCTAGAACTCAGTGAGCAGGCATGTTTTGTTTTGTTTTTTTTGAGTTGGGGTTCACTCTGCTACCCAGGCTGGAGTACAATGGCATGATCACTGCAGCCTTGACCTCCCAGGCTCAGGCAATCCTTCTACCTCTTCTGAGTAGGTGGGACTACTGGCGCGTGTCACCATGCTCAACTAATTTTTTAAATTTTTATAGAGATGAGGTCTAACTGTGTTGCTCAGGCTGGTCTTGAACTCCTGGACTCAAGCAGTCCTCCTGCCTCTGCCTCCAAAAGTGTTGGGATTGCAGTTGTGAACAATGGTGTCCGGCCATGTTCGGAATCTGAGCATGAATTCTGCCTCAGTGTATGTTTGTGCTTCATGGTATGGGTCCCCCTTCCCCCGCCCCCCTCCTCCCGTTCCCCTGTGCCAACAGAAGCACAGTGACTGTTTTGGAGCAAGTGGGGAAGAAGACCTGTCACTGCGTAGTCTCCTTGTCCAACAGAGGGCTCTGCGGCCAGTTTTCACAGAGCCGGAGGAGTTGGTTTCATTCCCTGGCAGGAGTAAGTGCTGAGTGTTTTGACTATACAACAAAAACAAAATCCCTTGCCTTTGTCTGCCCCTTGCCCACCCCACAGAAAATAGCATCCATGTGGAATAAATCTCCCATCATAGGAACATACTTGCCAGAAGAGGTTTGTTTTGCTAGTTTGGATTCTTCTACCTTTACAAGGCTTATCCAAATGACTTTAACATCCCTGTGCTTAAAGGAAGACAGGAAATGCTTATAAGAAAACACTGAATGATTTAATGACAGGGCATGCCTACTGTCATAATATATACCCCTTCATTCCTTAGCTGGAGCTCTTACCTGGAGATTATCGAAGACCTGGTCTTGGCAGGGGGAAGGTTGGGGAGTGGGTTGTTGTCTCTCATCACTGGTCACCTTGGCCCCAAACAATCAGCGCTTCTGTTCTTTGATTTACAACACAGAAGGGTCTTCTTAGAAAATAGAAGCAACATCTGTCTCTTCACCCTGTCACCCTTGCCACAGTCACCAAGTACCTCAAGAGCTAGTACTACCTCATGGTAAGCTGGAGGGGAGGAGATGGAAGATGTGCTTTATTTTCTGTCTCAGACTACCCGGTGCTTCCTCTTTTGGGTTGTATGTAGCGGTCAGCAGAGGTTCCATGTTATCCTTCATTCCTTAGGATTTCATGGTCATCCTCTCAGCGTTCTGTCTTCTCAGGCCACGTTGGTAATCATTAGGGAAGAAACAGATGTCCTCCTCTCTAGACCTGTAGGAAGGAGGCTATACAGGCATTTATTTGGGGATCAAGGTAAGACCATGGGATGGTGTTTAGAAGTATGAGGTTGTTTCTTTCCCATGATTTTTCTTACATTCAGCAGTCTTATCCTGTTAGTGGTTCAGCTGCCATTTGTAGCAAGCACATTCAGTTGGCAATGGGTGGCGCCATGTTAAAAAACAGAAGACACATTTCCTGCCCACAAGGAATCTGCAATTTATTTAAAGAAGAGACAGTGAGTCTCAGTGCCTAAAGGCATCGCTGGATGGTGGGAAGTGGGAATTAATTTGTATTTATTTCTCAAGATCACATTTTTTTTTTTTTTGAGTTGGAGTCTCACTCTGTCACCTATACTGGAGTGCAGTGGCCGCTCCCGGCCACCGCAGCCTCGACCTGCTGGGCTCCGGCGATCCTTCCGCCTCAGCCTTCCGAGTAGCCGGAATTACAGGCGCGCGCTACCACGTCCGGCTGATTTTTTGATTTATTGTAGAGATGAGGTCTCGCTGCCCAGGCGGGTCTTGAACCCGCGGGCTCAGGCAATCCACTCACCTCAGCCTTCCAAAGACGCGGGATTACAGGCTGAGCCACCGAACCCGGCTTCAAGATCACATTTTTAAAAACCATGGGAATTTTCTCCTTTTCTTTTGTACAGATTTTTTTTTTTGAGTGGAGCTCTCACTCTGTTGCCCAGGCTGGAGTGCGGTGGCATGATCACTGCTCACTGCAGGCTTGACCTCCTGGCTCAGGTGATCCTCCCACCTCAGCCTCCCAAGTAGCTGGGACTACAGTTGTGTACCACCACACCCGGCTAATTTTTTGATTTTTTGTAGAGATGAGATTTCACGATGTCTTAGGCTGGTCTTGAACTCCTGAGCTCAAGCAATCCTCCTGCCTTGGCCTTCCAAAGTACTGGGATTACATGTGTGAGCCACCATGCCCAGTCCAGAAAAACATTTAAACATTCATGATTGTGGTCAAGAATATTACAAACATTAGATTAAGATCAAGCTCAAATTTTTTGTTAAACTCCTTCCAATGTGAGTATTGGTCATCAATCCTTGTAAAACTCAGAGATGGAGGTGATCAAATTATTCTTGCTATTAAAATGTATCTGAGGGCCGGGCTCGGTGGATCAGCCTGTAATCCCAGCACTTTGGGAGGCTGAGGTGAGTGGATTGCCTGAG